AAAATAATCGTTAGTTGCAGCCCTACTTCACCTATTTCAGTTACCTTATTTATATTATTTACTTATTTAACAAATCAGAAACTGCACTTTACCTGCCACCACTTTACTGTACATAAGATACAGTATATATAAGTCACCTTAATTCTGTCCTTTATTTTTTACCATCCACTGTATATATCTGGATGCTCTGTATATACATCATGCACCTTTTCCTTATTTGTGCACCTGTTGTTTATAAGAGGTGATGTCACAAGTGAATTTCTCCATTGTGAGATCAATAAAGTTCTATCTAATCTAATCTAATGACTCTGTTTTTTAGAAGAGCTTTCTTATCTTTTAGCAGGCAATATAAATAATAATTAAGCTTTGTGTTCTAAAAAAATGTTTGAAGACAGTTAATACATGATGGAAGGAGAGCGGTTGATCTGAATTTAATTAATAAAAAAATTTCAAACTGAGCCGTTTCAAGCTGATGTTATGAGAGGACATGTTGTGTCTGCTCTGTTCATATAGGTATTGTTTTCTGTTGCACTTTCCTAGTTTGCACCTCGTTCCCATTTTTGATTAATTTGCATGATGGTGTAATTAAGGGTTTGTGGTATACATATGACAGCAGTATTACCCAAATCAGTCTCAGCTGTCACTATCTAACGGCAAACACAGCTGCTCCTGTCAATATCTACGCTCCTCATCAGACAGAATATAGAGGTGACTCATCAGTTCTGGGATCAGTCTGATATGCTGTTGGAGGAGCTTTGCGGTATTGCAGCTCGGAGGAGTCTTATTTACATTATGTATTTTCCCCCCTTCAGGTTTATATAGTATTTACATCCCTCCTCTTTTCTATACATATGTTTTTGTAAATCTCAACGGTTTGAAATAGATTGGTAAATGTTTTTCCAACCTGATTTTAGACGCTGTTAAATTAGAAATTCAGTATGTAACTCTTGGTGCTCTGCATTAACCAGACTGAAGGAGCTGCTGCTGAAGGAGAGATCAGGACGCTCTGAACTGCAAACTCGTGTTGAGGAGCTGGAGACAAGGTGTGAGACTCTAACCCAGCAGCTGGAGCAGGCCCGAAGCAATGAAAAACAACACAGAGCTGCGCTTCGTAGACTAGAGGAAACCGTCTCCCATGGAGACTCTCTCAGGGCTTGCCAGCAGGCTGAGAAGGTATACATTCAGCTTCTTTTCTTTAAGAAACAGTACTTCAGGGTTTTGTCTGCACAACACCCTGTGAAGTTATTGTAGCCTTTTGCAGAGAAAAGATCATATATATATATATATATATATATATATATATATATATATATATATATATATATACATATATATATATGTATATGTTAATGTTGGATTTTGTATTTTTTTTTACCGAATCCCACAGATGAAATGTCACCAGGAGCTGGAGAACAAGGCAGCAGCTTTGAGGAGAGAGCTGGACCTCCAGAGGGTCTCAGTTCAACAACACAAAGATAAACTGCAGCAGCTGCATGAACTGCTGGCATCCAGGGAGCAGGAGCACAGGTACAACTGAACAAAGTATTATATCATGACACTCTATTTATTTCACAAATAAAATCATGGTTTACCTTTTATACCTTCAATGTTTTTTGTTTTTTTTTACATTATCACAATTTGTATTTTTGCAATATATGTAATTATAGGGGAAAGCAACCTGCTAAAATAAGCCTTCCAATAAATCAAGAATCATTCCTGTCATATTAAACCAATTATAACATTTTGTAGAGAATCCTACCTTCAAATATATAAATTCATTGACCAATAAAAACAGTAGACATATTATTAAGACTGTTCGAAGCAATTGTATGAGATATAAAACAACCTCCAAAGAAGAATATTTAAGAATACATTAAAGGAATATACTATGTAGTAGTTAGATAAAGTGCAGCTTGTGCCAGACCAGCCTGTTAAATGGGTTGATGGTCTGTTTGGTTGTCAGCGGGGTGTTTGTGTTTCTGAGGAGATGTTATGCACCAGAAAACGAATGTGAGACTGAAGTGGTGGAGGGTTTAAGATGGGATGGGATTGTCTGACTCACGGGTTGGTTGCCTTTACAGCTCAGAGAAATTAGTTGTTTTCTTGTCTGGTTGACCTAGATTTAATTAATCTAAACCATCTTCCTGATGAAAGAGGCCCAAACAATGTTTTGCTTTGGTGGATGAGATCTGTGGCATTATATCTGCTCCTTTTTCTTGGACTTGTGCAGTAAAAGCAAAGTTTATGTGTGGTAGGTTTGGTCCCTGAGCATTTTAGGAGATTTTCTCAGTCCAGGAAACGTCAGAGGAAATGTGAAAGCCCATGGACGTCTGTTAGATACTCCACTGCCTTTTCATGTATGCAGGAAGAAGCATGGAAAATTTTTACAACTTAAATATGCAAGCAGTAGCAATAGTAGCAATCCTAAAATGGCGTCCTGTAGTACACCTATTCCATAGCGATGAAAAGATGATCTTTGTCACATTTCTCTCTATTGCAAGAAAAACAATGAATCCAATAACGTAAAATAGCTCTCTAAGTTATCTGGTAATCTGATACATTTTATTTTAAAGCTAAAATGAGGTTTCATGTTATTTAAGGTTGGTGTTTTTCCGTTAAAGATGTTAGAGGGATGTATACATGTTAATGTCTTCTGATTCTCACTTTGCATCAGGAAACAGCTGGAGCAGCGATTGCAGCCCAGCGGGGCAGATTTCCAGCAAGCAGTGTCAAAGGAAGTAGCAGCAGTGGAACAGAGACATCAGCAGAGGGAGGCGGAGCTGCAGGAGAAGCTGACAGAAGGCAGGAAACAATACGCTGCTTTGGAAGATGAATTCCGGATGGCACTAAAGATTGAGGCGACTCGCTTCTCTGAGGTCTGTTCTTACTAAGATGCTATCACGCATACAGCGTACAACTTGAATTGTTGAAGACCCGAGTGACCTGCAGGATTGGTGCATTTTACAAAATAGGTGGCATAATGACAGAAAACATGCAAATACTGAAGGAGTGACTCGAAACATCAGGCAGGAGGTTAAAAACAGGCTTTGCACCTGGACAAAGAACCTAAGCTTAAAGCCAAATTCCTTCCCTGGTCTTGGTCTCATAGAGTTTTAGAAGTAATTCAAAAGCTCTAATATAAAAGGTATATTGCATAAAATAATAAAAATAATTTGAAAATGGCTAGAACATTTAGAACACCCTAAATCTGAAACTACTTTTTCTTTGCCAAAAGGCAGATAGAGAACCATACTGACCTCAATTTTTAAGACTGAAGATAAAAGGTCAGCCTGAGTCGGGGTCATTTGTTTCAGCACAATTAGTCTTTGATTGCCACTGGAGAGAAGCTTTACAAAAGAACTGTATTTAAATCACTTCCTACTTTCATTCAGGCTCTGAACAAAATGCAATCTTTTTTTTCCTGATTGCCACCACTTGCACAACTTGTCCTTGACGTCACTCAAGCTGTTCACCTTCAAGAAAATTCTGAATAAGAAACAGATTGCCAGACGCATTTCTGGAAAGTTTCTTTGTGCAAATCAATGTATAAACCTCTTTTGCTGGGCACAATTTCAGACTGACTGATGAAATGGCAAGTCTGGTAGACATAAATAAAAACTTCTCCTTTGACTTTTCTTAGGTGAAAGAGGCTTGTGATCACATGACTGCAGAACTGATGGAGCTCAAGGCGACCCTTTCTCAGGCCCAGCAAAGAGAGAGGAAATCAGGCTCTCTGGTGCAGCAACTCACCGCTATGGTGAAAGAGCAGAAGAACCGCATCTCTGAGCTGATCAAAGCCAAGAAAGATGCTGTCGTTGAGCTCAAGGTCTAATGCTAAAATCTGTTTTTTCTTCTTTTTTTTTTTTTTCCAGATAACATGCTTGTGATTTAAATTATACTTCTTCCATAAGCTAAATGGCATCTGACCCTTTTTGACCAGCAGAATCTTGTAGCTTTACTTTCTGCCAATCTTAACAGATAGATACTGATCATTAATCCAGTCTGCATCTGTTCCGCCGCTAGAGCCGTATCCATTCCCTGGAAGCAGAGGTAGAGCAAAGCCAGCGTTTTGGGCTGCAGCTCGAGACACTAAAGAAAGAAAAAGGTCAACTGGTATCTCAGCTCATGGCTCAGGAGTCGGTCATTGATGGCCTCAGGGCTGAGAGGAGGATTTGGGGCCAGGAGCTTGCTCAGCAGGGTGAGGCGGATCCTAAAGGAATTTTCAGTAAACAAAAACAGTAAAATGTTGTTAGACTTTATAGGCCTGTACATGTGTGGTAAGAAAATCATTTAGAAAGAAATGTTTTCACAGTAGCTTTGCAATCCATTGGTCATTTTTGAGACAGCTGCCTACATCTAAGTTTTTTTCTTTTTGAGACAAGACAATTAGTTGTTGTACACACCACTGATCTGGCATTAATGGAAGAGGGGCAGAGAGAAGGAAATTAATAAAAGAAACCTTTTGGAGACTTTTCAAAAATTGACTAAAATCCACACAAGGAGGCATTTTAAACTTATAAACATAAGCTGTGGTTGAATAAGAGTTTCATACTTCCGCTTAACAATTAGATGCTCCTCTAATTTAGTCCATCACAAGTTAAAACAATGAGAGCAAAGTGTAATATAGGAGATGATTAATATATTTTCTGCACATTCTTCTTTCCAAGGTGCGTCATTGGCTCAGGATCGGGGACGTTTAGAGGCCAGGATAGAGGTGCTGACTGCTGAGCTGGAGACTCAGAGAAAGCAGAACAACAGAGACCATGACGCCCTTAGAATCAAAACCAAAATCATGGATGACCAGACAGAAACCATACGCAAACTGAAAGAGGTACTTTAATTCTGTTTCTTTATGTTAGAGATCTTTTCTTTAACATAAAGAAAGTTCTTTTCTTCTATGTTAAACATCTATTCTTTGATCGAAATGCTTTTTCTTTCCTTTACGCTGCGTCATTGTTTGTAAATTAGGAGAGGAAAAAGTTGTTTCCGGTGCTTTTTTTTTTTTTAACGCTTTGGCAAAGAAGTAAAAAGCTCTCCGGGTGTATTTTCATCCATTACCTTCTTGTTGTTCAGTCCTTGCAGGAACGTGACAATCTGATCCGCAGGTTGAAGGAGGAAGCTGTGCAGACCCAAAAACAGTTTCAGCAGCAGCTGGAGGAAGGGACAAGCCTGCAGGCTGAGCTGAAGGACCAGCTGGAGCATCTTAGCCTGCGTAAAGAGGAGCTGAAGCAGCAGCTGGAAGACAAGGAAGCAGAGCTGAAGGATGTCAAGAGAGTTTACAGGCAAATCTAAATATAGAGTGGAAAAAGAAAAACATGTCTGACATTAGTTGAAATCAAAAGGTCTTATTCCCAGCTGTTGGATAAATCAGCTCTTAGAAAGAAAAGCATGTAAATGCATTCCAAAAGTCAATTAGATTAATCTATTTTTATTTAGTGAAAATTCACTTCTCATGTTGGACACAATATCTGTTTTTATATTTGTGTCAGAAAAAAACGAATTCTTTTGATTTGAGTCTCCTTCTTCATTAGTCATTCAAACAAGAAGTGGCAGGAGAAAGCTGAGCTGCTAACACAACTAGAAAGCCAAGTGAAGCAAATGAAGGAAAACTTTGATTCTAAGGAGCGCCAGCTGCTGGAGGAAAAGGATAAAGCATCAGAGGCACACAAGTAACCGCAGATTTCTGTACAATTCTTTTATGCATCCGCAAAGCACTTGTAATTATAATTTTATTTGCAGTTATAGTAAATTATGTGGAGAATTTAGGTATAAAGGTATAGTGGAGGATGTTATTTTTCCTTGTGGATCATCAAAATACGGTAAGTGGTCCTCCTAATTGTCAATCATTCTGGTGATATGTTTACGTAAGCCCGTCCTACCTGCTCATCCCCATTTTTAGTTTCCAGTGGGGAGTCAGACATAGTGGAAACATTTCAAATCTTCTTTTGGAAAGTAAGCTTGTATGAGCGATGCAAACATCAACTTTTAAACGGAGCGTGCACGAGGAGAAATTGGCTTATGCATGCTCTCGAACGGTTACAGGGTTGTGTATGTGTATTTTTTTTTTTAATAGTGAGGGCAGGTCTTTTAAAAAATTTGTGAAAATCCTCCACTATACCTTTGAGCCGTGTAAAATAAATAACTATTATTTTATGTGGTCAATAAAAGGCCAGCACAGAGAGCAAAGTAGAAACATTTAGACAATATCCCACCATCACTATTGTTTTCGGAGCTTATATTCTGCTGTAAAGAAGAAGGGGATATTATAGCATGAAGTATAGTTTTTCTGTTGCCACTGAGCCAGAAAGTCCAACCCTTTTATTTGGTGCTATTTTAATTTAAAACATTAGGTCTGATAGCTGTCATGCATTATTTGGTGTTAATGTTCCTATACAGAGCTGCAGTTGACAAGCTGCGCTGTGTGGATGATGCTTTTCGTCGACAACTGGAGTCTGTCCAAGCTGCACATCAAGCAGAGCTGCTGCGGATGGCTAATGAAAAGGAGAAGCAAATAGAACAAGCAAATCTGAGGGTAAAACGTGTTGTTTTTTTTCCACATGATCCAGATAAGACACAGTGGTTTAGAGTTGAGACAGTGGTCCTTCTTTTGACCTATCAAAAGTTGAAGGGATAGGAGCTTGGAACAGGAGTTAGGAGCTACAATTTCCCTACTGTAACTCTAGTTCTAGTGAATCCTGCACACAGCCTCCTACCAGTTAATCAAGGGAGAACAAAAAAAAATCCTATTTCTACCAAATGCAAATAGAGAAAAGGCATCTGGGTAAGAAATATTTTAATGAAACAGAAAAAAAAAGTCCTAGGTGAAAACCTTTTTTAAACCCATAAAAATGTTATCAATCTTGATTTTATATATTCTTTTGGATTCCAGCAACTGTGACAGAAAACAGACCAATATCTCCCCGCCGCTTATTTCAATCAATCAGTCCATCTATAATTCGCTTATGCTTAGATTATTATTATTGTTAGGACTAGTTAGTAAGGAGGCCAAACTGATTGTTAATCTGCGATGGACTGGCGACCTGTCCAGGGTGTAACCCGCCTCTCGCCCATTGACTGCTGGAGATAGGCACCAGCAACCATCGCGACCCCAACTGGGACAAGCATGTAAGGTAATGGATGGATGGATGGATGGATGGATGGATAGATAGATAGTAAGGACTTTTACTCATCCATCCATCCAACAAATTCCCAGCTTTAATTCTGTGAACACCATCTTGTGTTCATACTCAATTGATTTTAGCACTTTTTCCCTATAGATTTTTTTTACTTTTCTTCTTTCTTTTTAAAGCTCTGCTGTGGGCTTGCTTAATTTATTTCAGTCCCATCCAAATGAAGTGACTGACTAATCAGCTTCTTTTTCAAAGACTCCAATCCAAAGACTATGACTTCTGTTTTGTCTCCTTTCTGGAGCAGACAGTTAAGTCATCCATGTTTTTATGTCTTCAAAACATGCCTGTAATCTATGTAATGGGTTAGCTTCATTTGGATTTATAGACAGATATAGCTGAATATTATCAGCATGATAGTGGAAATGAATCCCACGCTGTCTAATAATTCTACCAATTAGGAGCATATACATATGTATATATAAATAATAAAGAGAATTGGCCCTACATTTGATCCCTGTGGTACTCCACAGGTGACCCTGGAGCACGAGGAACATTTATCATTAATGTGAACAAACTGAAAGATAAATAAGATTTAAACCAGTCTAGTGCTGTTCCCTTAAATCTAAAAAAATATTCAAGTCTTTCTAAAAGAATATTATGATTACCTGTGTCAAATGCAGCACTGTAATCTAACAGGACAGGTACAGATATAAGTCCTTTATCTGAGGGCATGAGAATATAATTTATGACTTTCACCAGAGCTGTTTCAGTGCTATGATGAGCTCTAAAGCCAGACTGAAACTCTTCAAAAAATCAATTTTGGTGTAAGTGATCACACACTTGTTTGGCAACTACTTTCTCAAGAATTTTTGGTAAAGAAAGAAAGAAATACTGGATATAGGTCTATAATTGACCAAGTCATCTGGGTCAAGAAACGGTTTCTTAAGTAAAGGTTTAATTACAGCAACCTTTAAAACCTGAGGCACGTCTCCCTGTAACACGGATACATTGGTTTAATCTAAAATGGAGGAGATCAAAGGGAGTAACTTCTTAATAACCTGGTTGGAACTGGATCTAACATACAAGTTGGAGGCTTAGATGAAGAAAATAGTTTTACTAACTCTGAAAGATCAACTGGCTCAAAGCAGCTTAGACCCAGCTCAGATTCTATGGCTAACTTAGATGCTTCTTCACCTTACAGAGATAAACCAATCATAGTTAGAGGAGTGCCAGTGTTCTTGTTTTTAATAGAATCAATCTTATTTACACAGAATCAATCAATAACAAAATTAGAAATTCTGAATAAATGAAAGAACAAATAAATGAAACATTCCAGTTAAAATCATTATTTATTACCTACTAAAAAGGAACAATGTAAATTAAAATTATTATCCACTGGAGGTATGGATTTGAATTAATACTCAAAATAAAGTGGAAAATCACATTGAATGTGTATCTAACTTCAATAGAAATTAAGACAAGTCAAAATTAGGCACACATATTACTGAACTAATGTTCAATGGCACTAGTTTTATTGAGAAATCTCCTCCCAGACCAAGATTTAAGCATCAATCAACTTCTAGATAGACTGTGGTGCAATTTGGCATTGGTGGATGGAATAAGACATGATGTGCTGAGCACTGACAAAATGCAAAAGTTACCAGAAAAAAGCTGAAAATGATGAGAACATGGTCACCACCTGCAGAGCCACATCTTCATAAACATTACCCTGCTGAGTGTGTCTCATTTTCAGGTTGTCTGTTCCATTCGCACCACAGCAGGTTCAATTGATTAACAATCAGTTTGCCGTCCTAACTGCACAGGTTGATTTCACAGAGATGTATCTGACTTGGAAATGCATTGTGTTTACGTTTTCCCTTTAAAATTTGGAGCAGTCTAGTTTTATAGACAAATATCTATGTGGTTCTTTTCAGGTTTATGTGGTAGAGGAAGAGATGCGTCAACTACTGGAGGAGACGGAGGCTAACAAGAGAGTCATGGAGGAAAAAATGAAGCGTCTCACTAGTTTCCTAAACGACTTTAACACATAAAATATCCATATCAAACCCCTTGAAAGTTTCTATTCTAAATGTGTTTTTACAAATACAACAGTATTTTTTGTATATTTGTATAGTCTTTGTTTTTATATGGTTTGTCAAATAAATTTTCTTATGACGGCACACACAATTCTTCTTCATATGAGAATATAAAGGACACTGTTGTGATACACTGAAAAGTGAAATTATAGCAATTCAATCTTTTAATATATCACAATTTAACTACTAATGTATTTGAAGGCATTTTACAAGATGACAGTTCGGATTCATGTGTCCAATTTTGTAGAATGCATGTTGGTCAAGACTCACCTGAAATCATTTAAGTCCAACAAAAATCCGAAATACTGTTCAGAATTGATAGATAGCCCTATTATTACACACCTGGGGAAAATGCCATTTTCTTATGAAAAAAAAATTATGTTTTGGTATATATGCTTAAACACTTGCTTGATGTAAAAATGACCACAATTACCACAGTCTGCACTATAATGTAAGGCATCATGCGTCAGGTGTGGTCCCCCTGGGGCAAACTTTGAAAAGGTGTCAATCTGTGGCATACGTTTTAGAACTTACTAATGTATTAATTCAGTTCAGTTTATTTCTATAGCGGCAAATAATAACACACGTCATCTCAAGGCCCTTTACAGTTCACCAGATCATACAGTCAAATTGATTCAAAGTTTTCTATTTAAGGAAAACCAGTTGATTGCATTGACTCGAATGCAATCCCTCACACTAAGCATGCTTGTAGGTGACAATGGAGAGGAAAACCCCTTTTAACAGGAAGAAATGTCCAGCAGAACCAGGCTCAGAGTGAGCGGCCATCTGCTGAGGTTCAAGGAGACAGAAGCAGAGATACAGAAAGGCAGAGATCCAAAAAGCAACTGTAAAGGGAACACACTGCCAGGCAGACAAGCTCTGAGCCAGCTTCCATGTCAGAGGATCTAGAGAGCGCATCCAGCCAGTCACAGTCAGAGAAACAGGACTACACTGAAAAACAGGCCCATCTGGAACATCTATAAATAAAGGTGTCAATGGCAGCAACACAGCTGATATTTCTCTCCAGGGTGGTTTCACAGCCAAGCAGGAACAGATTAGGCAAAGCTCCTATGAGGAGAAGCAGAAAAAAGCATAACGTTGGAGATCTAACTAAAATATTCTTCAGAATAGGAGAATAGATTACAACTATAATTACAATTGTCCTAGATAAATTAATTAAATTCCCTTTAAATTAATCCTGTTAGTTTCAACAATTTTCCCATTTAGTCATGATCTGATCTACATGCAATCTGATTCAGTTTACATTATATTATATTCAGTTAATCACAATCATGTCTAAGTAAAAAGTTATCTTACAAAGCTTTTTTTTTTACAAAGCTAGATAGAATCCACTGACATCTTAAAGTGCTACTGAAACATCTTTCAATTCCTTCATTTAAAATGTTAGCTTTCAGCCATTCGTAACTTTATAAAAGTTAATAGGCTAAGTGCTATTTCAGCTGTAGGCTACTTGTTAATTTAAAAACATATACGTTTTTGTTAACGTCTCCATTCATAGGGGCGGGGTCAAGAGGAGGCGTGCAGGAGTTGCCGTGGCAACCATAACCTAACGTAACGTGCGTTCATTTAAAAAGACCCCAGCCCGAGTTTTCACCGGGGTCCTGTTTAGGTAGCAGGTGTTAACTGAGAGAAATGTCCGTTATCTGCAGTTAAACTCAAATAGTTGTCCAATAGAGAAGCGATTCCCTATTTTTCTGTAGAAAGAAGATGGATTTGGAAAAGTCTGTGACTGAACGCTCGACTTCTAGTCGCCGTGAAAAAAGTTTGGGGCTACTCACGATGAAGTTTGTCAGTCTACTTCAAGAAGCTAAGGATGGCGTTCTTGACTTAAAAGTGGTCAGTGAAACTGTGAGATACCGTTTACCGTTTTTAGTTTATTTTTAAATTTTTTGTGTGTTCTTGTACAAACCTTGGTAGGTGCTATGCTATCCAGTTCTTGCTGCCAGTTTTAACAAAGGGCTGTCAGTGAGAATCCTAAAGGTGTAATGATGTTCACAGGGTTTAGATCAGGCATGTCTGAAGGCTGTCCTCAAAGGCCGCAGGTTTAGAGGATTACCTGCCTTGATTCTGCTAATCAGCTATTAATGAAAATCAGCTGTGCTGGAGCAGGGAGACCTCTGAAACATGCAGGACAGACTTTGGACAAGCCTGGTTTAGCTCATATAAAAGTAAAATATTAAAAGTAGAAATATATATATATATATATATATATATATATATATATATATATATATATATATAAAGATTCAACAAAATATGAGACCTAAGGGTTGCTGTGTGCATTAGTGTTGTGACTTTTGGTGTAGTAAGAATCTTGTGAAGTTAGGATTGATGCATAGCAGAATATAAGACATGGCACAGATTGTTTTTGTTATGCCACACAGGGGTGGAGCTAGATGGGGGGTCAGGGCAGTCTTTCCTGTAAAGCACTTTGGTGCAGTTTTATACCTGTTTTTAAAGTGCTGTATAAATAAATTTGACATTGGCATACTCAATTTATGTAGATATTAGTACTTGTAAATATCAATTTTAAGCAGAATGATTATCGATCAAAATAGGTAAGTAATGGCAATGGAAAAGATGTTTGCCCCAGAACTCAAACCTGAAAGTATTTTATCCACTATACCTTTTGTCTATAAAGCAGGGATGTTTAAATATATGCGTCTATTTGTTAGCAAAGACTGTAGGAAAGTATAGTTATTCTCATCTTAGGCTTGACCGTGAGGTTCTGGTGCCCTTCTACTTTCGACCCTCCCTCAGTGTACATTGGTTATTGCCTGGCCACCCTTATATACATTTTCTGGCTACCCCTCTGATGCCACAAACCTGTGTTGTTGGCTTTTTTTTTTCTAAAGAAGCAAAATGATTGAGGTGGCTTTTACAGGTAGAAAATAGTTTAATGTTGATCTATAAAAGGAAATCACTTCTAAAAAATTTGTAGGCATTCATTACAAAAGTGGAGTACAGTGGCTAAAACCTGCTTTTATATTTCATCTACTTAATGATATGTTACGTATTTGCCCAAGCAGAATTAAAAAGTAAAAAGTTTATTTGAAGGTATTTGGTAATAACGCTCCCTAACCAGTTCAAACTATTTTAATTTCTGAATGAGATTTAACTCTTAATATTTTTTTAACTTGTGATAAGGTTTAAATGCTTGGAATAACTTATTATAAAGTTAAATAACCTAACTGAAATATTTGAAACCTATACCTACTCTAGGCACACATTGAGGTATAAAAAAATACTATAGTACCCATATTTTACTGTTCACTGGGTCGGCAAATTTCTGAATAGGTTCAGCACATAGAATTCTCACCCGACACAGTCATTTGTGATGCATTTTTGGTCAAAAAATATTCATGTTTACTGTTAAAGTTACAACATTAGCAATTATATATTGCTACTACCCACCTCTCTGTATTAAACATGAGATATATTTTCAGCATTTGTTTATTTTATGTATGGCTTATTGCTAATAAAAACCCAAAATTGAATTTCTCAGAAAAGTACATGATATTGAATATGCTCTATTTAACAAAACAATGCTTTAATGACATAGTGGGGCTTTTATTATCATATAATAAAATGCTGTCTGGACAGATGTCCATTACACAATGACTGAAACCCTCTACTAGGACAATGAACCACAAATGATCATTATTGCAAACGTAGCTGACTGTTTGCAGTATGTTGCATTGCGTTGAGTAGAAAAAAAATCATGTTGTAGAAAAGGTGAAAAGTATTTAATGAATATGTGTGCCACCGTCATACACAGACATTTCCCAGACATTAACGTTTCTGTTCCGTGTGTTAAGTCATTTTTGAAGCAGCAATAGCATCAGATTTGTCTTACCTGATCCAAGGAGGATGAAAAAGGACTGTCTTCCTCAGTCCAGCTAGTTTTATACCAAGAAATCTCTAAAACTACATCCTGCTCTCAATGAGAAGCTTTATCGAAAGCGTCCTTTTCCTGAAGAACTCACCCACATCGCCAAGAGCACAAATACTTGATTTAATGACCGTATAAACGTGTTATTCCAGAAAACTGTCCTGCATAGTGGATGTAAAATGCCACACTAAAAATAAAAAAATCTACCTGGGCTTCCCTAAAACCAAAACAGATTTCTGGGCTGATTGCCTCCATGTCACGCCACATTTATGCAGAAATTCAGACAAAAGGAGCCCAGGATTGATGGGTGGCTATATTAGGGAGTGCACTGACGTCCTTTTATGTATACCTGTGTGTTTTAGTGAAGCCGTAATCATCAACCTGAACAGTTAGAAAAATGTTAGAAAAGTATCACTCTTTGTGATATGTTTTTAACTCTCTGAACTAAAGTATTGAAATTACAAAGTAAAAGTTTTTCATTTAAGTTGGTCTTAATTTGTTTTGAAAAAGAAAAGGCTTAATCACTAATCCTATGGGTTTTTTTCAATAATTTTTCCTATTTTAATTTCCCCCCAAAACACACGTGTGTATGTATGTATGTATGTATGTATATATATATATATATATATATATATATGTGTATATGTGTGTGTGTGTGTGTGTGTGTATTTATAGTCAGAGGTTGTCTAGTTAAATTTACTCAGTTCTAGTTATTCAAGTAAGTTTTTGACTGAAAAAAAGTTTTAGGATCAGTTTTAATATTTTTACTTGTTTGGTTACTTCATCCATAAGTTCACAAGCTTGCTTTTTTTCTTTTTCTTCTCCAGACAAAGACGTGCAGTTAATCTTTGTCACAATGAGTCATTTTTTTTGTACACCAGCTTGCTTGAAAAGAAATGTTCACATCAAGCTAGTATATATTGACAAGTAACACCAAAATAAATATTGTTTGGAAAAGTGTGGGCTTTTTTTTCACCTTGAAATTTAGTTATTTTTTAGATTGTATTTGTAATTTTTAATATCAGATGTTATGAGTTATTCAGTACTTGAGTATTCTTGTTTTTACCGGGTCCTTTTTTATTCGCACTTGAGTAATTTCTTAAATGACTGCTGTTCAATATTACTACATTAAACCAATGATGAAGTGGTGTTACTCTTACTTGAGAACAAATTTTGGGTATTCTACCCACCTCTGGGTTTAGCCTCCCTGTGATTTTAAACTGCCTCCTAATAATTCTTTCCAAAAAAGTAAGAAAAAAAACAACAACAAAAAAAAAGTCTGGGCTTTGTTTCCAAGTGTGACGACGTTTTGTTTCCCAATTCAAAATGTCAGAATGTCAGAATTTTTGAGTTCAAGGCTTTTTATGACTCTACGCTATTTCTGCCATTTTGAATTGAAAAAGCTTCCTGGATGGGAAGCGAAATGTCTTCACACTTGGAAACAAAGCCCAGACGTTTTGTTTCCCAATTCAAAATGTCAGAATGTCAGAATTTTTGAGTTCAAGGCTTTTTATGACTCTATGCTATTTCTGCCATTTTGAATTGAAAAAGCTTCCTGGATGGGAAGCGAAATGTCTTCACACTTGGAAACAAAGTCCAGTGTTCTTTTGTTTTTGTTTTTTTTACTTTCTTTTTGGACTGACTATGACGTGGATGACTGAAAATCACCTTCACCTGCATAGGTTTCAATACTTTAGTATATTGTTTACGTGTAGCAGATAACTTCTTGCTTGAGACAACTAGCTGTGGCTGATTTATGGTGACGTTGTGTTTGAATCAACAGGCTGCACACAGCTTGGCAGTGAAGCAGAAGAGGAGGATTTATGACATCACCAACGTCCTGGAAGGTGTTGGGCTAATTGAAAAGAAAAACAAGAACATCATCCAGTGGAGGTATGAAAAAAATATTTTTATGTCTATATGTATAAAAGAGCAACCTTAGAAATGTAACTATGTGTTAGATGCTGTTGGATTTTTAAATTCCTTTTAACAATCAGTTGCTCTACATTGTCTGACCCCCCCCCCAATAATTAGGGGTAAGAACAGAGGGAGCCAAAGTGAGGAGGTGTTGGAGCAGATTAGAGTTTTAAAAGCCCAAATCTCTGAGCTGGAGGTTCAAGAGAAGGAGCTGGATGACCAGAAGGCCTGGGTGGAGGAGAACATCGAACAACTCCACCATGATCCAGACATCCATGCATATCCTTTAGTTTTTTTCCCATTAATTTCATTTTCCTTTTTTTACCTCCTTAATTTAAAAAATGAAACTGTTTTTGCTCATCCTTTTTCTTGCCTTTTGCTGTTGAGACATGTTAATTTGTCACCTTGACATTTCTATTTTCTAAGAGGATTAAAAGAAAACCCTTACTTTTTTTTTAATCAAATGTATACAGTTGAGAAAGCGGCTTTTCATATAATTAATTTCCAAAAAAAGTTTCCCTAGTTTTGCAGATTTATCTTTGAATTATTCCGTGGCTGAGTTTCTTCATCTGGGATGAAAGAAAACCTTGCCGAAACCTCTGATCATTGTTTGCCTATTGAACAGGGAACGGGTATAAAAAGAGGATTATTAATGCAATCACTATTGTCACTCACTGAAACAGCAGCCAGGCTAATCCTGAATTGCACAAAGCCTACAGCCTTCTTTTTCCGGTTTATTGTCTCCATCTTCTGTTGAATTTATTCCTGTTTCCTTAACACCTCTTACATACAGATTTGTGACGCATGAAGACATTTGTGATTCTTTTAGTGGAGACACCCTTCTGGCTGTTGTTGCTCCTTCTGGAACCCAGCTGGAGGTGCCTCTTCCTGAGATGGTAGTTTGATCCATCATTTTGAGTTTGAATTACATTTTTTGTACTCTGGACATAAAGTAACATTTACTAAATGTTTATTATTTATGAAGTTTATTCTAGTTTTCTGTGATGCTGAGGTAGACCTTTCATTGATGGCTGTTAGATGTAACTACAAACTGCAAGGGGATTAGCTACGAACTTTAATTGGGAAAGTCATTGAATAGTCTGTTTCTTCGTGTGAGTATGTGTATGTGTATGTGTATGTATGTGTGTATATATATATATATATATATACCCACACACACAGTCTTGCCTTGCAGCAAGAAGGTTCTGGGTTCAATTCCCAGCGTTGATACCAGGTCTTTTCGCACGGGTTTGCATGTTCTCCCTAAGCATGCGTGGGTTCTCTCCGGGTACTCCGGCCTCCTCCAACATTCCAAAAACATGACTGTTAGGTTAATTGGCTTCTCTAAATTCTCCTCAGGTGTGAGTGTGTGCATGAATGGTGTTTTGTCCTGTGTGTATATATATCTATCTCACATATATACGCACACACACACACACACACACGTGTATATGTGATGTTATGAGATTGTATGGATTCATTATTTTACAGGTTCAAAGTGGCCAAAAGAAATACCAAGTGAACATGCGCAGCCACTCAGCTCCCATCCAAGTGATGCTCATCAACAGGGATTCCAACTCCAGCATGCCTGTGGTCTTTCCTATACCACCCACTGATGGTATATGTCTGATGCCAACTCCTCCCAGTGCGCCTGTCAGCCTGCAGAAGTACCCCCTCCTAAACGGTGCTGCAACTACATCCAACACCTCGTCCTCCTGCTGCAGCCAGGATTCTATCTCCTCAGACCAGCAGATGGCGCTGCCAGACAACGATAAAGAGCTAACTTCATCCTCTGCCACGGGTGATGTGCAGATGGGTGATTATTTAATATTTATTCACTTTAGTTTTTTTAGTTTATTTAGTTTTATTCACTTTAGCTAAAGTAGTAGCATTGGACTCTGAGCTACATGCTGTGTGCAAGCTTTGGAGATTGCTTGAAAGGATTTGATATAAAACAGGGGTTTATTATTATTTAACCCTCTTTTTCTCTGTGATCTACCTCTGGCAGGGAAATGAAAATTGTTCATGATGGAAGCATTTGTTTTTAGCTGCCTTTTCCCTTATACTCTTGGACAAAGCTTGATATAGCAAATTAACTCACAGTCCATCACTTAGAAAATGTAGTCCACCTGTGTATAATTTAATATCAGCATACATCCAGATGTTCTGTGTGAAAACATTTATGAAAAAAATGGCAGAATGGAATCCGAAGCTAGGGATAACATTATTGAGACATTAACAAGAGGATAAGCTGATTGAAAAGGTTTCTTTTTAAATTTGGAAATCAGTAATATATAAATAGATCTGAACATTTGAATGGTATGATACAAGTAGAAAACCTGTCATAACCTCCCAATCCACCAACATTAAAAAAGGCCAGATAAGGAGACCGTTAATCAGAGGCCCATGGTTACTCTGGAGGAGCTGCAGAGGTGCAGTGGTGAGATGGGAGAATCAGGTGACAAGATGGTTCATAAATGTTGCCTTGATGCAGAAAAGTGGTGATTAGGAAGCCATTAGAGGTCAAATTTGCAGTTTTCTGCACATCATATACCACAATGAGGTTTGAACCAAAACTGAATCAAGGCATAATTATATATTTGTTTGAAAAATAACACTGAAAGAACCAAACCAATGGTGAAACATGGTAGTGGCAGCATTGTTCTGTTAAGACGATTTGGTTGTTCATTAGATTTGGTAAGAGCGAATGGAGGACTGTTCATGCTAAATGTTAGCCTGGGTGCCAGTCCGAACTTAGTCCTGCCCACAAGGTTTGAGTTCGGGGAAGTTCGGTCTGGCTCTGCTCCATAGTAGCGCGAGTATTAAAGCCCACTGTCAGGCGATCCAATCAAATTGTCAGGGCGGGCTTTATACGATGATGGACAGATGATCAAGAGTA